ATTTTGAAAAAAAAACTCAAAGAAAAAATATTAAACTAGGTACTTACACTCGCAGCGACAGTGAAGCCCCAAACATCTAATCCTTTGATGTTTGCCGCCTCACTCTTTGATAATCGCCGCCACTCGGCTTACTCGATCAAAGTCTTTGATGTTTGCCGCCCGTGAGGTGTCGGGCGGCAAACATCAAAGACTTATTGCTTCTCAATTATTCTAAAACTAGTTTATTCCAGAATATTCCTTCATTTTGCCTATATGAGCGGGTGTATGGCCCGAACATTTGTGCAGTTCTATTCGAGCTACCGAGGTGATAACTTCGACAAGCGATATTCTAGCGAACTGTTTGAGCCGTGAACTTTGTGTGCATCTTGAGTGGTTGTGTACTAACTATAGTTTGTATTGTTATTAAGTTTAAAGAACGAAAAGTTAACAAAAATGATGTCTGGTGGAAAAAAACGAAAAGTAGATACAGAGGGACGCCAGTTTCAAGAAAAATGGACTGAAGAATTCTTTTTTATTTTGCACAATGGTAAGCCTATTTGTTTGCTGTGTAATGATCCATTTCAGTAATGAAAGAATTCAATATAAAGAGGCATTACTTAACTAAGCATACTGCGCTACACTCACTGACAGGACAATTAAGAACAGACAAAATCCAGAAGCTTACAGCAAATTTGGAGAAACAGCAACAAATGTTTCATAAACAAAGAACACAACTTGATAATGTTGTGAAAGCTAGTTTTATAGTTAGCTCAAAATTTGCAAAGGCATTAAAACCATTTGCCGAAGGAGAATTTATTAAGGAGTGTATGTTAGAAGTTTGCAGTGTTTTGTGTCCTGAAAAGAAAAATGAATTTGAAAAAATTAGTTTGTCAAGACGAACCGTTGTTCGACGTATAGAAATGATGGTTAATGATATAAAAACAACATTGACTGACCGTATGGCTGGTTTTGAATCATTTTCCATAGCATTAGACGAGAGCACGGATTTGTCGGACACAGCTCAACTGGCTATATTTATTCGAGGTGTTGATAAGGAGTTCACTGTTACTGAGGAATTGCTTGCTTTACAGCCGCTAAAAGGAGCCACTACAGGGGAGGATATTTTTAATGAAGTTCAAAAGGTATTCACAAGATTTGGCTTGCCATGGTCAAAATTAAAGGGAGTATGCATTGATGGTGCACCTTCTATGGTCGGCTTACGTAAAGGTTTCATCGGAATTTTAAATGAAAAAGCAACAGCATTAAATGTGCAAAAAGATGATTTGATAGTCCTTCATTGCATTATCCACCAACAGAACTTGTGTTCTAAGTCCATTCGACTCCAGCATGTTATGGATGTGGTAGTAAAAACCATCAATTTTATTCGATCTCGAGGGCTTAACCATCGTCAGTTCAAGGGGTTCTTGGATGAAATATCCGCTGAATATAACGACGTAACATATTATTGTGAAGTCAGATGGCTGAGCAAAAGAAAAATGTTGGAACGGTTTTACGAGCTTAGAAATGAGATAGCAGACTTTATGAAAATAAAAGATAAACCACTATCTGAATTGAGTGACCCAAAATGGATATGTGACTTAGCATTTCTGGTCGATCTAACAGGCTATTTGAATGATTTAAATTTGAAACTACAAAAACAAGGACAGTTAGTAAATGATTTGTACAGCCATTTGAAAGCATTTCAGGTCAAACTGCGCTTGTGGGAGTCACAGATGCTATCTGGTAATAGTTACCATTTCAACACGCTCTCTACGTATGAAAATATTTGCTTATGCTCAATATGCTGAAGAACTCAAGTTACTGTCGGAACAATTTTCGAACAGATTTAGCGATTTCAAAAACATGGAAGACTGTTTCAGTTTATTTGCAAATCCAACAAAAAGTAATGTACAAAATGCTCCAATACACTTACAAATGGAGTTGATGGAAATTCAAGAAAAAGTTATCGATTTACCGATATGATGTTGTACCTACCATTTTTTTAAATTTCATTTTTTAAATAAATTGTACTAGTACTAGAATAACATTGTGATATTATTTTATTAAGCACTTTTAAACGCGGCCCGCGAACCTATTTGCATACTAAAGTTTGGCCCTCAACATGTTAAAGGTTGCCCATACCTGCCCTAGATGGACTGCAGCGCTACGCCTTCCGTGTTGTCAACGATCCTCATGTAACTGAGCATGCGGAGTCGTTACAGCTTCGCAGAGATATAGCGTCTCTTAGCGTATTCTATCGCCTGTACCACGGTGAGTGCTCTGAAGTTATTCAACCTTATCCCTTCCTCTCCTTTCCATCAGCGGACTACCCGTACGGACTGCGGTGCCACAGTTGGACAGTCAGTTCAATACTGTCCCGCACTAAAAAGTTTTGCAATTCGTTTTTATGCCGAACCATCAAATTGTGGAACCAACTCCCGGCGCATGTATTCCCTCCCCTCTATAACATCGGGTCCTTCAAACGTAGTGTGAAGAAGCATTTGGCCAGACCGGCAAAATGATAGTGACGGAGTGAAGATATTTGTGTTTTCCATCCGTTACTCTCATCTCTGGACTGTATTCGCACTTTCCATCAGGCGCGGTGCAGTCATTTTGCCGAGTCATTAAAAAAAAAAAATATATATACAGGTGTAGTAAGTTCTTATGGGTGACAGAGGGAAACCAGGTTTTTCCAGTATGGTGGTTTTATTTAACAACATATACAGATGTACAACGTCGGTGGTGCAGTGGGAAAGGCCTCCCCCTAATCGACACGTAGTCGAGGACCCGTACACTCGTTCCAATTAGGAAGCGGCTCAGGGTGCAACAACTACGTGTTACGTTCTAAAGCGGAGTTCCAAATAGGACGCAGCGCTAGAAGCGTAGCACAGTGCAGTAGGTTCAACGGTAACGATCTAAAGCGGAGTTCCAAATAAGGAAGCAGAGCTAGATGCGTCGTAAGTTGGATTACATTATACATACATCGCCGCCCGTAGTCATTCCGCGAGGGAAAATCTTAACACCGCGATGCAGAATTTGCTATTTCGACGCCAATGCCATCTAGCGGTGCGTGACGGAACTAATATGAGTTGTGGCCTGTTATGTGATTTTGTTACACAGGGTTATTTTTAAATGACTAATAACCTCGCAGGACTACATTACTAACATCATATACTACAACTTTTGTTCCATGACTTTTAGTAATTCGTCAGATTTTACTTTCATACAAAAATAAAAATATTTAATCGTCTGCTCTAAACGGTTATTAACACTATGCGGTAAGAAAAGAACACGCTAATTGGGCTATGATGTCGATGCGCTAATGTAAACAAATCATCCGATGCGAAATGCACGAAAGGGGTTGGGGGAGGGAGGGAACGCTCATACGGGCGGCGCGGCGGGGCGTCGGCGGTGGTCAGTCATTTTGATGCATTCGCGTCGTAAATGCACATGTTATTTATTGTTTTGTAACTCTAATTGTTAGCACGATGACGTATCGCTATTCAAGTGTAGAGTATACATACGGAAATGGTGCGGTTACTTGCTATATGTGGTGACAATGTGTCGGAAGCCTGCCGCGAATATGGAAGACGATTTCCTATTGTACCTACACCAAGCCAAGTTACAATGTTAGCTGCCACACAGCGATTAAGAGATCACGGACAATTTTACCCTAGGTCCAGGATTGTGGATTCAGTGTATTGTCAACAGCACATCATGTTACATGTTTAAGAATTACGGAGGGCAGCGTTGTTTATCACTGGAGGAGGGAGATCAGGTGTTAATTGAACATTTTTTTCATAATGGTAATAAACACATATGGAACAAGGGTTTGGATAAAAAAATCTCGGTAATCGAATGTATTTAGTCCACGTAACAGATTTAGATTTAAATATAAGGAAACACATAGACCAATTGCTTTTGTATAAAGGAAGAATAAATGACGTCTCTTGTCCTGGGCTTGAAGTCGAGCCAGGAGACGTGGAATTAGTTTTGAATGAAGGAGAAACGGTGACCGACTCACAAAGCCCAGCGTCGAGTTTACTTGAACCCGATGGGAATATTGGGGAGGAAGATCAGTCACCGGAGCTCAGCCCTAACATAATCACCACGAGTGATCCTGTAAGATCTGTTTCTCACGAAGACATTTATTTGGATTGTGAGGTAAATAATGAGGAAGTGCCCCCTGAGTTGCCTACAATGGACAAAAATTGCCGGGGTGTAAGGTCAACAAGGAACCCAAATCCTGTGTATAAATACATATACATACATACGTATAAGTAGATATATAAGTTAGAATATTCGTTAAATCAGTAGTTTTGTATAAGTACCATGGATGTTTCTATTTTTTATTTATTTAAACTGTTTAATTGTAGCTAAAGGTGGAGGAATTGTTATATTTTAAGGTAGAGGGTAGTTGTCAAGATTGTCATTCGGCCGTGAGACATTAAACGTGTACTTTGATATCAGTAAATACAGTGTTTTAATTATAACTAAGTAAGCAAACACTACACATTTAAAAGTGTTATGTTGTACAGTTGTATAGTATTTAATTTATAAATAAATAAATCGTAAATTTCAATTGCAAAA